ATAAACATTATTAAGGGCTTTACTCTAGAAGGATTTTCACACACTGGACCAGGCACTTCAGCCTCAGCACTATGACAGTTTAGACCAGATCATTCTTTGTTGTGGGGAGCTGTCCTAGATATTGTAAGATGTTTATTTAGTATCATCTCTAGCCTCTATCCATTCTGCCCAGTTGTGACAATCAAAAACATCTTCAGATAGTGCCAAATGTCCCTTGGGGAATAAAAGTGCCCCCAGTTAAAAACCACTGCTCCTGGGTCCACAGCAAGATTACTTCACATCAGACATTTGCTTTCATGCATCGCCTAGCTGCTTCACGAGAGTTGTTTGTCTTTTATCCAGTTTGATTTGTCTATTCCTGTGTCTCCTGACCCATCTGGCAGATAAGTCATGATGCTAAGTACATGATATCAGAGAGAGCTTCTGGGCATCAGCCCACCGCAGCAGAAACACAGGGTGAGTATCTCAGAGCTGAGAGAGGGAATGCAGGCAGAAAGCCTGCATTGTACTTATGGGCATCATCACGAATGAAAGTCACACAAAAAACAATTCCCAAAGATAAAGCAGGACAAAGAGCCTTTGCTCCTAAGCTGAAGAGCCACAGTCTTCCTTGTAGGAGGAGCTGGCAGGCTCATCCTTGACTCAAAACTGAAAAGTGCTTTCATAGGACTACACACATAATCTCAACCTCCCAGCATGTAGAGGCAGTGGGAAATTCAGAGGAAAATAAGAATCTTGCCAAGAAGATGCAAAGCCAAATGCTGATGTTTACTTTTCTTCCCTAAAGCTGATTTATCCAGTAGGCATATTCCGAAAAGTGCTTGTATCTAGTCTCTTACCATCCAGCAGGTAACCAACTGCAATGCACTATTTAAGATATCAGCAAAGTAGAAATGCTGTTCATTAATAAAAAAGGCAAACATTTGCTGGGGCTTCAGGTTCACTTTAAATTTGGTACTTTCCCATAAAAAGATCATGAAATACAGATCAAAAGAAATAAATTCCTACTCCTCTTTCACACAGAATTTACCAATATATACTTACCATCTAGAACTTCTTCTGAAAACCCTGTTTTCTCAAAATCACTGGTATTCTGATTGTACAAACCAAACAGAAGATAATTTGCCAGCTCTCTGCAGCCTTCATTGTACCTGCTATCGATTCCTGAAAGGCAAAAGGAGGCTCTGATCAGCTGTACTGTACAATGGGGAGCCAATAAGCCCCCAAAACTTGCCCTTGCTCAGTAAAACCCTGATGGTTAGGTTAATGGCAGCAGATCACACCTGTCTGAGCCTGAAACCAAGCTAAGCAACTCTGTGAAACAAACAGGCCTCAGCATTAAGTATCCTTACTAGGATTCAAGATTTATATAATTGAGACAAATAGCATAGATTACTAAAGCTACTGATTTCCAAAAAGCAATTCTTGAGGATAGAAGGAACCAGAAAATATGGCCCAAGTGCCCAGATCTTGGTTTCTAATATTCTCCAATAAAAAGGACCAAGGTTCCTTGGAAAAATAGCTGACTCTAGGACTGGAGCAGAAAATATACAAAACCCTGGAGTATCTTACAGTTCTAGAAAGTACAGAAGTGTTAAACAAAAACTGATGTGGAGTACATCAAAGGGAGGGACATAGGAGTCAACTGAAAGAGCTCTAAGTGGGCAAAGCTGGAACAATTTGAAGTAGCAGAATATAACCCAACATATAAATAAAGTATACTGGGTTTTAACTCAAAGTATAAAATAAATATTCATGAGTCCAGACTGAGACAAATAAATGATTGAATACATAAATAAATGGGAGAGAATTCAGAATTTCAAATAATTTATGTAGATATTCCCTTCCTCAAAGAGCATAACTCCCCACTCCTTAAGTGTGGAGGGCATAGTGACTTCCTTCCAAAGAGGAGAATATAGAAGAGGGGCGGGCAAAATAACCTTACAGTGCAGAACCTGACAAACAGTATTTCAGCCAGGTGATCAAGAGCAATATAAATAGTGAAAAGTCATACTGATAGTATGTATCCTTGAAATCATATGATGAAAATGGCATGTTACTTCACCAGTCTTCTGTCTACCCAATACCCATAACCCAGGTCTAATCATGAGAAAAACATAAGACAAATCCCAAAAGAGGGACATTCTACAAAATACTTGACTACTACTACTCAAAACTGTCAAGGTCATCATCAAAAACAAGGGAAGTTTGACAAACTACCATAATCAAGAGGAGCCTCAGGAGACACAACAACTAATATAAATGTAATGTGGTATCCAGGATGGGATCCTGGAACAAGAAAAGGACATCAGGTAAGAACTAAGGAAATCTGATGAAGGTGTGCTTTAGTTAATAATGTATTAATATTGATTCATTATTTGTGACAAATGTACCATTATTAATTTAAAATGCAAATAATAGCAGAAACATGGAAACTCTGTACAACCTTTGCTATTTTTCTGTAAACCCAAAATTGTTTTTTTTTTAAATAAAGTTTATTAAAAAAGGAAAAAAACAAGATTGGCCATACCAAGTGTTGGTGAGAAATGGAACTCTTGGAAGCTGCTGGTAAGAAAATAAAATGGTATAATCACTTTGTATGCAAATGTTTATACCAGTTTTATTTGTAATAGGAAAAAAACAGAAACCCAAATATCCATTGACAGTTGAACAGATAAGCAAATAGGCATATAGAATATACACAGTAAAATACTCACCACCGATAAGAAAGGATGAACTAGCAATACATGCTACAATATGGATGAATCTCAAAATATATATGCTGAGTGAAAGAAGTCAAACAAAAAGAGTGTATACTGTATGGTTCCATTTATATAAAACTCTAGGAAATATACACTAATGTATAGTGACAGAAGGCATATCAGTAGTTGTCTGAGAGTGGGGAAGGGGCAGAACAGAGTCCTTACAAAAGGGCACAAGGGAACTTGGAGGTAATAGATACTTGCACCATCTTGATTGTGTTGGTAGTTTCACATATGTGTACATATGTCAAAACTTACCATATTGTACACTTTATGTGTGGTTTATTATATGTCAATTATACCACCATGGAGCTATTTAAAAAAAAGGTTAGCAGAAATTAAGAACATTTCCTATACCGTAATAACTAAATGACAAATGCTAAAATGAAGATGAGTTGAATCAGAGTTGCCTGGAAGGGTGTTCCAGCAGTTAGAAGGCCAGTTAAACCAATTAACCAACAAACAATGAGATGCTATGACAATTCTAATTACACAGAAAAGTACAATTCACTAAACCTCAGAATCTGTTTCAAAGTATACGGAGTCCTTCACTGATTTCTTGCTTGACTTTCACATAAAGCTCTTTGTCCTGAAGGTTTATTAATGTTTTACCTTCATCTTCACATATAACCTTAAACACACCAATTTCCACAACACTTGGTTTTTATTAAAACAGATACTTATCTGCCTCAGGATATTCTTATAATTGAGCCTTTTCTCAATCCTTCAGTATTCTATATTCAAATAGCCCATGGAATCAATTTTATGCTGCCTATTTTCACTAGGTTGAGTATAATAGAAATAACAGCATAAGTACAGTAACAAATAGGTGGCTTTATTTATAGGTAAATTCATGGCAAAGAAAGCCCCCATACTCCTGATGGATGCAGCTGGGAAGAGAATCCAGTAACTGTTGCTTAAGCATTTGAAACCTCTGGCTGGAATTCCAGGTCCACCACACTGGGACTGAGTGGTGGATCCAGGATTCAAACCCAAAACATGCCTGGCCCCAGGGTGCATGTTTTTAACCACTCTGCACACTGCCTCTCATAAGGTTAAACAAAAGTGCTGTTAAGAGAAAAAAAATTATGCATAGAATATCTAAGGAAGGACAAACCACAAACTGCTGCAGTTTGCTTCTGGAAAGGAAAGTGTGGTTTATGAACAAACCACCTGACCTAATGATTCCACTTCTAGGACTCAATACTATGGATATAAATGAAAATGAGATAAGGAAGGAGATCAATCTGATAGAGAAAAATCTCCACGATATATTATCAAATGAAAATTTTTAAATCAGGTTAACAACAATATGTGTAAAATGTTCCCATTCAACAGTGTTATTTCTGGGGAGTGGGACTGGGAATCTGGGACGGTTAGGAAGCTCTGTTCATTATTATTCATATATTGTTTTAATTTTTAAATTATATGATGTATCTTCATAATAAAAAAAAATCTAAAGAAGAAATAAATGCTCAATTCTGCCTCTCAATGGTCCTGAGTCCATTTGTTTCACAGTTTATCTCACAATGAAACTATTAGTATATTCCTGTGAACTTTAATAAGGTTGCCCCAACCCTGAGTCCCACCTTATCAAAAGACTGACCTAGGATGCAGAGAATTCCATCAGGTTGAGACTTGCTGCACTGGGTCAGGATGCTCTGAACCTGGCGGAGTCGGCTGCAACTGCAAGAAGAACAGAAATCAGCTCCCCGAGTGCCAGCACATGAACGCGTGAGGAAAAGGAATGACTGCTAGGATGGATACTGGTCCTTGTCTGGTTTTGGTATCAAAACCAGAAAATCACCTGGAAAGTATTCCCCTATGCTGCTATTTTCTGGAAGAGATTATACAAAACTGATCTGAAGACTAAGGCAGAACTGCTGCTTACAAATGGGATGGTCAGTGGCTCTCTTGGCTCAACAGAGGATAGAGCTAAAGGCCCTCTCATGTCAGTGCTGGGCAGGACTGAGACCCAGCAGCTGACCAGAAGGACCTCCAGTGACTTCTCATTTTTGAGGATTATTAAAGAATTTCCACATTGGTTTGCCTTGTGGTACTCATCAATCTGTTAAAAGCAAAGCAAAAAAAAAAAAAAAACAGATAAAAACCAAAAACTGATCTAAGGACTTACATGAGACTGATTCGTCATCACAACTACCCCGATAGATTGTCAGTGAAGGGTACTTGCTCCCATTTCGTACAGATTATTCCTTTGGTCTTAGGGATAGCCCCCTCCTCCCCAACAAAGCACAAGGAGAGGCACTCCCAGACATTAGTATCACATCACCCATGCTCTCCATAAGAACCCGTTCTCCTTCCTGGCAGTCTCACAGAAAGGTGCTCAATTTCCTGCTCAAGACTGATCTTTCCACTGGGTTTCTCCCTGTCACCTCCAGGTCCAGGATCTGCCTCCACTATTCACTCACTAACACTTTAATATTTCAGTTTTTCTCTAAAGTCAACATATTCCCTGCCCTACTCCATCATTAACTAAAATCCTCTACAAACCAACTACACTAACTGCTGCATCCATGACAATCAGACTTCATCCCCACCCCTCACTGAATCTGCTCTGGTACATTCCCTATACTCACCCAAGCAATAGTATTTCCAGCCAAACAACACTATTTCCCTTCCCTGGATTTCTTTTTTCCCCCTGGATTCTTTCTGATGCCCCCATGCCCCAAGTCATCCACTCCATGACTTAGTGGTCATCACCACTTTTTCCTTCAAGATGTTCACAATCTTCCACCTAATACCAAAACCAGACAAAGACAGTACCAAAAAAAGAAAGAAAAGGAAAAGAAAACTACAGACCAATAACCATTTGTCATGAGTATAAACGTAAAAATCCTTAATAAAATACAGTTGACTTTTGAGCAAAAATAGGTTTGAACTATACGGGTCTACTTATACATGGCTTTTTTGCAATAAACATATTGGAAACATTTTTTTGAGAATTGTAACAAATTGAAAAGGCATTTTCTTTTCTTTAGCTTTCTTTATTGTAAGAATAGGGTATATAACACATGTAATATACAAAATATGTGTTAATCAACTGTTTACATTACAATAAGGCTTGCAGTTAACAGCAGGCTATTAGTTAAGGTTTTGGGGAGTCAAAAGTCATTGTGGATTTTTGACTGCACAGGGGGTTGGCACCCCTACCCTTGTGTTGTTCAAGGGTCAACAAAATTAGCAAATAGAATTCAACAACATATCAAAAGAATTATACAGCATGACCAAGAGGGGTTTTCCCTGGAATGCAAGGTTGTTTCATTATTGGTAAATCAAAGTAATCTATCACATTAACAGGCTAAAAAAAAAAAAAATAAAACAATAAAAAAAAAACAAAAAAAAATAACCTAACAAAAAAAAAAAACAATTAAAAATTTTAAAAAACTCAGAAAATTAGAAATAAATGAGTTTCCTCGACTTGATAGAGAGTATCTACAAAAAGCCTTCAAAGCAAAGTTTGGGATTGTACTTGATGGTGAAAGACTAAATGTTTTTCCTTTAAAAGGAGGAGTAAGGAAAGGATGTCTGCTTTCACCACTTTATTTGACATAATACTGGAAGTTCTATCCTATGCAATAAGACAAGAAAAGGAAATAAAAGACACAGAGATTAAAAAGGGAGAAATAAAACTATCCCTATTTGCAGATGACATAAGGCCTATGTAGGGAATCTCACAGAATCTACCAAAAAACTAATAAATGAGTTCAACAAGGTCGTAAGATTAACAGATAAAAATCAATGGTACTCCTAGTAAACATAATGTTCTTCATGTAACTGTAGATTAATGATAACAAAATAAAAAAAAATAAAAAATAAAAGACTAACAGAAAAAAAAAATCAATGGTACTTCTGTATAAAGGCAACAAACACCTGGTAAACAAAATCTAAATTTAAATAGAAATCTAACAAAGCATGCATAGGACTTAAAAGCTAAAAACCACAAAACACTGATAAAGGAAATCAAAGAAGATCTAAGTAAATGGACATTGTGTGTTCATGGATTGGAAGACTCAACATAATGTTGATGTCAATTCTCCCCAAGTTAATGTACAGGTTTAACACAATCTCATCAAGATTTTTTGTAGATTACTCTAAAACTTACATGGAAATGCATTTATATAGAATAAAAAATGTTTTGAAAAAAAGAATAAAGTGGGAGGAATTATTCTACCTAATGCCAAGACTTATATAGCTAAAGTAATCAAGACTGAGTGGTGTTGGCTGAGAGAAAGACAATAGGTCAATGGAACAGAAAAGAGTAGTAAGTAATAGACCCACACTAATATAGCTAATTTATTTTTGATAAAGGTTCAAAAGAAATTCAATGGAGGAAGGATAGTCTTTTCAATAAATGGTGTTAGAGTAACTGAATACCCATAGACAAAACCATGAACCTCACCCTAAACTCTATACCTTATGCAAAAATTAGCTCAAAATAGATCACAGATTTAAATATTCAAATGTGAAACTATAAATCCTAGAAGAAAATACTCTGGACTTAAGATTTGATGAAGTTCTTGGACTTGATACCAAAAGTATGATCCATATAAAAAAAACTGATAAATGGGACTTAATCAAAATTAAAATTTTTTGCTTTGTGAAAGACCTTGTAAAGAGAATGAAAAGACAAGCTACAGATTGGGATAACATATTTGCAAAGAAGAATACATAAGGAACTCTCAAAACTCAACAGTAAAAAACAATTAGAAAATGAGCAAAAGGCATAATGAAACATTTCCTCAAAAAGGATACAGATAAGCACTTGAAAACATGCTCAAAATCATTATCCATTAGGGAAATGCAAATTAAAACCACAATGAGATATTACTACAAATCTATTAGAAAAGCTAAAATAAAAAAATGACAATACCAAAATGCTGGTGGGGATTCAGAGAAACAATTTCTAAAAGAAATTAAAGCCAGCAATAATGGAAATACATTTGTTCATGCATTGGAAGATTTAATACTGCTAAGTTGTCACATTACACAAAATGATCTACAGATTCAATGTAATTCCACCAAAATTCCAATGATATTTTTTTGCAAAAATAATAAAATCCAACCTAAAATTCATATGAAATCTCAAGGGACCCAGAATAACCATAACATTATTGAAAAAGGACAAAGCTGGAGGATACACTGCCTGATTTCAAAAGTTACTACAAAGCTATGGTAATCAAAACAGTGTGGTACTGGCATAAAGAAAGACAAACAGAACAACAGAACAGAATAGAGAGCCTAGAAATAAACTCCTCTGTGACTGGCTTATGTCACTTATTACGTCCTCATGGTCAAATTATTTTTGACCATGCTATTGAGACCATTCAATGAGAAAGATTTTTTTTCAACAAATGGTTTTGAGGAAACTATATCCACATGCAAAAGAATGAATTCAGACCTTTACCTTACATTACATCATACACAAAATTTAACTCAATATAATAAAGACCTAAATATAAGCCTAAAACTATAAAACTTTTAGAAGAAAATATATGGGAAAGCTTCATGACATTGGATTTGGCAAGGATTTCTTGCTATGACCACAAAAGCAGACAACAAAAGAAAAACATATAAATGAGACTACATCAAATTTTAAAACTTATTTCAACAAAGGACATTTTACAGAGTGAAATTAATTATATTACTTATTATAACAGTGATTAACAGAGTGAAAAGGCAACCCTCAGAATGGGAGAAAATATTTGCAAATCATATATCTGACAAAAGGCTACTACCCAGTATATACGAGGAACTCCTACAATTCAACAACAACAAAAAAACAATTCAGAGTGGGCAAAGGATTTGAATAGTTCTCCAGAAAAGATATATGAATGGCCAATAAGCACATGAAAAGATGTGCAACCTCATTAGTCATTAGGGAAATGAAAATCAAAACTACAGAAATACTATGCCCACACAAATCAAGACCACTACTATAAAAAGAAACAAAAATGAAAAATGATGGGTAGAAATTGGGACCTGTGTGCACTGTTAATGGGAATGTAAAATAGTGTAGCTACTATGGAAAACAGAATGGCAATGTCTCTAAAAATTAAAAAGAGAATGACCATATATAATCTAGCAATTTCACTTCTGGGTATACACCCAAAATAACTGAAAGCAAGAACTTAAAGAGATATTTGTATACCCATGTTCATAACATTATTCACACTAGTCAAAAGGTTTTAAAAGCAATCCTAAGTGAAGTCAGTCAGAGAAAGACAAATACCATATGATTTCACTTACGTGTGGAATCTAAAAAACAAACCTCACAAATAAACAAAACAGAAACAGACTCATACTGAGAACAACCTGGTGGTTGCCCGGGGTGAAGTGGGTATCAGCAAACTAGGGGAAGGGAATTAAGAGGTACAAACTTCCAGTTATAAATTTAAGTCATGACATAAAAAGTACAGCATAGGGAATATAGTCAATAATATTGTAATAACTTTGTATGGTGACAGATGATAACTGGACCAATTGGGGTGATCATTTCATGTGTATAAAATGTCCAATCACTATGTTGTATATCTGAAACTAATACAATACTGTACATCAACTATAATTTTTTTAAAAAGGTAGAAGCAACCCAAGCGTCTATCACCAGAGGAGCAAACAAACTGGGCTATATACATAGAATGGAATGGTATTCAATCTTAAGGAAA